TGTGTGAGTGTGTGCGGGTCATCCAGAGAGATCCAGAGTGGTGTGCGTGCGAACAAGTTCCTGGGGATACAGTCGATCGAGTGGGAGTCGTTGTCTGGCGCATGGGCGCCATAGCCAATCGAGATAAGTTTGAATCTGGACTGTGATCTTGGCCACATTATCTCTGAGCTTTGTGTGGGCGACATAGCGCCAGTGTGTTTCACATCTGTTTGCATGCATATCAAGTGTCGAAGAAGAGAAGTCTGATTGCAGTTCTGAGAAATCGCCGTTAAACTTTCAAATAGACGGTACCATCGAATACAAGGTGCGTACCTTGTATTTAGAATACAAGGTATGCACCTTGTATTCTAGATGTGCCTTGTCTGAGTTTTTCTTTCTTTTTTCTCTCTGTAATAGACTCCCGACCTGGGCAAAAGACAAAAATCATAATGGTGGATCTTTCCATGTTCTAGCAGAAAAAAATCATTCTCGATTTAAACGTCCAAGGCCCAGACGCTGAAGTCTACTTCGCACGAGCTCAAGAACTTCACGCCACTGTGGAACCAATGTGTTCTTTTTCAAAAGGAAAAAAAAAGAGCTCCACGCTGCAGGCTGCAGCCCCGTCCTGGTAGCGGTCGACTAATATCTACTTTTTTTTTTTAAATCCGCCATTCGAATACAAGGTACGCCGTGTTTTGTATTCGTATGCAAGGTACGATCTTGTTTTCGGGTTAAACCACCAGCACTTGGGCCATACATCGGCCGCGGGCCTTTCCCGTTAACACGCCGCAGCCTTGGGGGTCGGCCAAGGGAAGGTCCGGTCGTTGCTGAACAGCCGGGGCCCGGTTCACTCGGCATGACACCAAAGAACAAAGAAAGAAAATAAAAATATTCAAATACACAAAAGTGAAAAGGAAAGAAAACAATTCAAATACACAAAAGTAAAAAGAAAGAAAACGAAAGGGAAAAACAAAGTCATGCGGGAGAGAGAGAGAGAGAGAGAGAGAGAGAGAGAGAGAGAAAACATATAGATGTGTATAAGAGACAGGTTTAATCCTCAAGCTCCCATAGTGGCCTGCCTC